AACGATTAAAACCAAGATGGTCAGTGTCGTTGCTACAAAATTCTCACCAGACTTGGAAGCCGAGGTTTTACGTACGTATTTGAAAGAAAAACTTGGGCATGACGTCATGCGTCATAAAATTGTTTCAGGAAACACTAGGTTTGCGTCTTTTAAAGTGTCTGCTGAATGCAATGAAGTGGATGACATGTATAATCCAGAGCTATGGCCCGAGGGTACATTTGTGAGGCAATATTTTGAACCACGTAAATTTGTTGGTGGTGCTCATGCTGCTCACTCTACCCGAGCAAGGCCCTCTCCTGGAAGCAGATGCTAGCTCTAACTCATGTTTATGGATCTTAAAGTAATCTCATATAACCTTCGCTTAGGTCATAATGTGGAGGATAAAGTTCGCTGCATTGTGTTTAAAGAGCTGCTGGAACAACGTGACATCCTATGATTACAAGAGACTTTTCTTGCCAAGCAGGATTTATGTGGTCTTAAATCCTTGGACGATAATTTCCTCGTCGCTGGAGAGTCTACTACTGACTTTGGGCTCGGTTTTAAGCGTGGACGGATTCCTGGTGGTGTGGCTATCTTGTGGTCTAAGAGGTTGGACCCAGGGGTTGAGGACTGGTGTATTGCAATACGCCCGACTCTGGATAACAAGGAGCTTGTGTTTTTAAACATCTATGTTCCTTATGAATGTAATCAAAATGAGGAGGAGTACTTCAACAAGCTTGCTTTTATTACTTCTTTTATACATATCGACAGGTATACCAGCGTATATATATTGTGGGTGATATGAACGTAAATATATCAGATAAGGATTCTGTTTTTGCAAAGCATATGTTGCACTTTTGTGCCGATAATTTGATTTTGTTTAGCAGTGAGTTCCTGCCTAGTCAGAGCTTTACATATATTAGTGAGGCCTGGCATACAACATCGTGGCTCAACCATTGCATTTCTACAGCTGCTCTCCTGAGGGTCTTGCCAGTTATCATAATCTCACTGATAAGCGGTTACGCGATATCACATTACCTAGAGAGGCCGTTATGTGTAATGATCCTAACTGTACAGATGCTAACCACAAGATAGATATCTCTGCCATGTATCTTAATATTATCTGGGCGCTGTTGGACGCGAGTGTGCCGTTTCACAAAGATAAAGGGAAGCGTAAAACTAGGCCTGGTTGGAGCACCTATGTGGCCGAATTTAAGGCTGAAGCCCGAAAGGCTACAACTTCCTGGGCTCTTGCCGGTAAACCCAGATCTGGGCTAATATTTGAGCTTAAAAAGCGTGCAACTGCGAAATATAAATATGCCATTCGGTTTATTGTGAAAAATGAACAAAAGATGAGGTCAGACTCTTTGGCGAAAAAACTCATAACGAATTATCATTTTGGAAGGATGTCAAATACATTAACAAGAGTAGATCCTCCGTACCTCACACTATTGATGGAATCTCTGATCCTGATAAGATAGCTGAGTTTTGGCGGCGTCATTACTGTGAGTTATTTAACTGCAATCAGAGTGAAACTTTTTTGGTGGGTGGGGTTGATTTTGTTGAATCTTTTAAATCCAATGAAGTTTCCCAAGCAATAAGTAATCTGTCTGAAAATAAGGCTACTGGGCTGGACCACATCTCTGCTGAACATCTGAAGTACGCCATTCTCAGGTTCTCCCCTCTTCTAGCCATTTGCTTCACTGCCTCAGTTATGCATGGGTTTCTGCCTGACTCTATGTCAGTACTGTTGGTTCCTATGGTGAAGGATAAAGCAGGGAAGGTGGGCAGCTCGGAGAATTATAGACCTATTGCACTTGCTAATATTCCCGTCAAAAGTTGCTGAAGAACTTCTTTTGAATAGGTTTCACAATCTTATTAGCTTTACTGCAAACCAATTTGGGTTTAAAACTAGCCATGGCACTGACATGTGTATATTTGCCCTAAAAGAATTAGTCAGTAAATATAAAAGCAAAAACTCCTCTGTATTTATGTGCTTCTTAGATGCCTCCAAAGCTTTTGACCGAGTGAATCACAGGAAATTATTCCAGAAACTGTGTGACGCCCAAGTACCTAAATATATAGTGAGATGTTTGTCATACTGGTATGCCCACCAGACTATGTCTGTTAGATGGGATAA